GGCTCGACTGGACCACGACGTTTTTGTATCGAAAAATGGGGCAAACCAAACTCGTTACCTCGGGCGCATACATGCTTCAATCGTTTAGACTTGCCACCCTATCCTACGCCGGAATTGCTATACGAGAAACTTCTTTTAGCTGTCGAAGAGACAAACACATTTGGTATTGAATAGATGATTTTATGTTTGTCTCTATTAGGGTTACGATTATGCATAAGCTTAGTATCAATAGTGATATTTTAATTATGAAATTATGGAATTATTTGTTATTTATTTTTATTTATAAAATGCTATTTTAACCGACTTGCACACAATTTTAGTCAGTAAGTAAAGTAATATTGAGAATACGCTGGACTTATGTTCTGATCTAGAACAAACTTTGCAAGAATTTTTACATTTACAGTTATTATTTATCTTTAACGCACTAAAAAACAATGATAAAAACCTGTTAAAATAAGTGGGTCACATTATTTAATAAACCAAAAATATTTAAAGAACTCTTAGCTTTTAGGTTGATATCATTGTATGCATTTGCACTTGTCTATTTAAATTTTGTTAAATTTAAAACAAAAGGGGAAAAAAAGATAGATATATTTTCTTCCATTATTCATTAGTTTCGTAATACAGATACTTGCGTATAATATTTACAAGCTCTATCTTATTTAGCTATGGTTCCTTAATTTTATTTTACATATTTAAAAGTAAACTTTACTATAACAACCTTATAACTTAACTATATAGATATAAACATAGCCATAAAGAATTAAATTTTACTAGGACAAAGAAGAAATGCTTTCTTTTCAAGCATTTTGATTTTACAAAGACTTCTATCTATTTTTAAATTAAACAATAGAATTTTTTCTTCGATATATTAAAACCAATTTTTTTTTAAATTTGTTTATCATAATTAAAATAATATTAAGATTTTAGTTATTTCTAAGTTCATGACTAAAAGAGGAGAGTTGGCGTTTCATAGTCCATTATCTCAAATCCGTCAACCATCTGAGTCTTTTTGACTGCCAATGAAGACTATTTAAAATTCCATTATTTCTGTAAAAGTTGAAAGTTTTTCCCACTGCCCCCTACTTTCAATCGGGAGTATCAATCTCAGCTGTTATTATGTAGGATATGCCTTTCTTGAAGCAATAACTTTTATTGTGCACATTTGATCTTTAAATTAAATTAAATTGCTCTTTATTAAAGCTCTAAAAATTTAGTGTAATTATTTAATATATATGTGTAGTATAAAAAAATAATTTTGAATAAATTTATCAATTATTTTAAAACTGAAAGTGGATAAGAGTGCATTCCGAAAGTATTCCAAATTTATATTAAGGATTTTAAAATAGTAATTTAGGCTATGTAATGCATAAGTTTTAAGCTTAAAGCTGTATTTATATTCCCTTGGTGTTTACTACTATTATATAAATAATTATAAAAAAAAAGATAAAGAATTTGTGATCAGTAGCATACGTAACTTATTTGAGCGGACAAGAGAGTAAAACGAATATAGATTTTTATTTTTAACCTTTAAAATATGTGTGTAGTTAAAACTCAATTTTTACAATAACATTTTTTATGAATTAAAACTTAGTTGTAAATTAAATTATTTATTCAGTAGAGCATAAGATGTGCTTATTTTAATTATTATTATTATTTATATTTATTTATTTATTTATATTATATTGTATATTTACAAATGATTTATTTATTTATTGTATAGATTAAGAATGTGCTTGTACGCAATATAATAATAATTATTACTTTGTTTTGTTTACAAGTGTATATGATATTTATTGACTTAAATAATTTTTATTACAACGATAAAAATTATTTATTTTGCTTAATATATAATCGATATTAAATTTAAACGAATAAAAATAAATCGTGTTGATATTGCAAAATTTGTTGTAGTTTATTATTTCATTGTGATTTTAAAAACCATCTATTAAATGATTGAATGTTCATTTAATCCAAGTTTAGTAGAGAATTGTAATTTATTTTTGGTTTTCTGTCACCTTCATCCTTCATCCTTCATCTTTCTAAAGAATTGTTCAGATATTTTGAATCTTAGCATCCACTCATATTAACTTATCCAAATAAATTCATATTAAATCCAAATGATTCGAATCGAAATGATTTGAAGTTGAATTGACATTTTACGCTTATTAATCTATTTAAAAGATGACTTCCAAACTGTTTTTAGTTGTTGTTTATTTTTGGCTGAGAGCGACTTCTTAAGCACATCGTTTGGCACCAGTGTTGTTGTTAGTTTTTCTTGTTGTGTCTGTTTAGTCTCTGGCGTCTTCACATCTGAAGTCGCTGGAGCGCATAGCCACAATAAATGATGCATCCTGTAGATGATAGGATTCAAGGGTACGCTGCTCTTGTAATATAATTCCTGCGTAGACTAAACGTTGATTTTCAGTTTCAAAACCTTCACCGCACTCTGCAAAAATTTTTTGTTTCAATTGTAAAATTTTGTTTTCTGCTAAAATATCAATTGATATTTCATCAGATTTTCCAACTGGCTGTACAGATAATTTCATACTAAAATCTGTTTTTACCAAAGTAAAAAAATAAGCATGAAACTATTTCATTTTCCTTCCATGATTTACTTAAAATTTTTGGCAATCGATTGACTTATAAAATATTATCAAAGCATACTATAGTATAGATTCATTCACAACATAAGAATATTTGATATATTTTAATTTAGCTTTAATAGTTAAAAAATAACCCGCAGAAAATTAGAAAGGGACTGGATCAGCCTTATATTCTACAAACCGGAGCCTATTTATGAAATAAATTTCTCTATAATTAAGTCTCTGATCGAGAAAGCTATGAAGAAAACAAAAATAAAGAAACGACCTGGGTGACCTGACCATAGATTGATGTGTCTAAAGAAACAAATTATCGGCTCAGCTTGCAAGCAGATAAGACATCTGGTCATTCTTGTCGCTGTCCGAATTTGATTTGGGATACGAGGACAATACTAGGCCGGGAGTGCCTAACCCTGTTTCTTTTTGAAAAATTCTTATCGGGAGACATTTTGGTAACTTTTTGAAGTGTTAGATGTTTTCTGTTCGATTAAGCACGCTTTGTCGCACAACATATTCACCATACTCGCAGCGCTTCGCTCGTCGGGAGCCTACTATTCCATTAATTTACAATAGTTTAAATGTATAATATGTGTTTAAATAACGATTCAATGCTACTCATCAACAGTTACGACCAAGTACCGCTCAACACTCTCGTTGCAGGTTATTAGTTCACCAGTAAAGCTTACATTAGACTTTAAAGAGCTTCAATAATAATAAAAGTCGGCTCTATAAATTTGAAAATACTACTGCGTCTTATCATATATTTCAAAATCATGTTACAAACCGATCGATGTATTTTTGTTCTATTATAGTCCATTTTCAATTGTTCAAAAATTCTGCATTTCAAAATTCTCAGTCATTCCTTGTATATGTGTAAGGAGTGGATATATGTAAGGAGTGGATTTATTTGTTTTTTATTTATTACTGTTATGTATAGTTATGACTCATAATTTGTGAATGCTGTATCCATTGCAATAGTTAACTTTAATGAAAAATAGATCTGCAAGATTTTAAAGTGAATGGATATCTGTTCTCAAACATTTAGAGTTGGACTGTCAGCTCGTATTGCTCTTGAAGGCAGTGTCTACAAATTGCATGATTGTCTTAATGTCATGTCCGCTACTTATGTAATTAACAGCTCTTACAGAGCATTGATAATAAAAACTCTAAAAATTACTGATTAATATAATTTATTTATTAAATTAACATAACTAATAAGCTCACTAAAATTATTTATAAATTTTTAATTTAAATTCATTATCATTAAATTAATTATTAAATTTTACAAACATTATATTGTATTAATTTATATAAAAGATATTTATGATTGATGAACATTTAAAATATATAAATGAAATAGCAATGAGAAAAAATTATGACAATCTTATATTAAAAATAAACGAATGATGGGTTAGTAGTCGGTGGTGGTATTAAGTTAGGGAATAAAGTTATAAAAATTTTAAATTGGCTTGTGTAAACTGAACTAAGCTTTTAACTTTAATTGAAAACATAGAAATTTCTATATTTTTGCTTTCATATTCAGAAAAGTCTTATAAAGATAGAATTGTTATAGTTTAATGGTTATTATAACACTAAATTTTCATAACTTTCAGATATGATTGAAAAAGGAATTATTTAGATATTTTTATATGTGTAAGAACATACTCGCCGCCTTCTATTAGTAATTAATTTTATTAAAATATTTTTATTATGCAAAAAATATTAATAAAACTTAAAAAAACTGTACACATATATAAACAAAAAAATTAATTTAGGAAAAAAACATAGACAAGTATTAGCACCTATTATATGTAGTACATTCTATACGAAAAGAATTTGTGTATCCATACATATAACGTATTAAATGAAATACATTTTAAAAATTGGCAAGTCAAGAAACTTTTTTGGATATATATATATTTAACCTTCAAAATATGATATATATCATATATTTATATATGTATGATTATGTCCTTACTTTTAATAACTTTCAATTAAATTTCTTTACTTCAACAACACACAAAAACAATTTTTTTTTTATTTTCAAACACATTATCATTTGAAAACTTTTTTATAGATTTTTTCATAAAATTTTTCCACATATATAACAATTTAAACTTTACTATATATCTCATACTCTGTATTTCAATATCATGTATAGCATAATATATAATTTCAAAAATTTATTTTACGTTTTAGAATTAAGATAATTTATCTTCACAATATAAAATTTAATTAAAGAAAAACCTTTTCTAATTAATAAAGTAATAAATTAATTAATTTATTATTTCGTTATTTATTTTTCACATCAAATTAATTTAAAAAGTTTCCACAATAAAAACAATTATTTAAATATTTTATTAAATTATTTCCGCTTTGAAATTTTTCCAACTATTCTTAGTTACATTCTCAGATCGGAGAATAGTAGATGATAACATGAAACCATAAAATCGTTGGTTTTGTAGAAGTTTAACCTAGAATTTCTTTAGCAAATATTATCATGAATTGATTGATATGTTTAATGTAAGATTTTATTTATGATATATGAATTCAATTATTTTATTATTTAATATGTTTTAATGCATATTTATAGTTACGTAACGCTTCTATATATATATATATCTTTTATTTTAAGTGTTGAAATAATAAAATAATTTTTAAAGATTTTATTAATTGATTTGGACTCGAGACCAAATTAAACAGAAAAAGAGTTATAAATATTTTGGTCTCTACTTTGGAAAAATAACATATATAATACATTTATGTCATAGGTTGCTCTTAAGCTTTAATATCTTACACATATACTTTCTAATATATATAATTAACTATCAAATTGAAGTCTAACAATTGTTTTACGATAATTGATTTTAAATAATTAATCAATCTATCCTAAGTTTGTATATAATATTCAAGTTTTTCAAATTAAGGACTTAATCTCTACAGTAAAGGGTTATCCATTTTGTGGTTCCGAAAGTAAACATAAATAATACACACTTGTAATTGAGATCTAGATATATCGTTTAGACCTTGCCATTAGATGTAAAATAGAGCATTCCAATGTCCTCCACAGAACATTTTACAGTATTGGGTGATTTTGAAGTAATTTTTAATGACTTATCAGCACAGCAATATGTGCTGATATACTTGGCAATACCTCGGACATAACTTTTTAACTGTTCTTTTTTATAGCATTGATAGTTCTGGGATTTTATATATATAACACGATGATATGTGTAATACTACAAGGAAATGTTTAATGTTGACAAATAACATGATCTTGGTGATCAACTTACATGTGCCTTAATATAGCATAAGACGCATTGTGTGAATTGTGGCACACAATGTCTTTTAAAACTACAGATCTTTCTTATCTATGTCTATAATTTCAAGCTAGAAAAAAAATTGCAATCAATTTAATGCAATTATTAGGTTCGATGATTTTCACTACACCTTCGTCACTTTTACAAAAGTACTGGCTTGTCACATCTTCAGACCAATAGTCAATAATAATAATAATAATAACCAATAATTTTTTTTTTTTACTGAAAAATCGTGACTACTTTTGTAATGTATTTTTACAAGCTTTACATGTTCAGCGGTTGTTATTCAACCATATTGTAAAATGGCAAACCTTAAACTAAACATACGATGCCGTTTATGAGAGTTATGCTTGACATATATGTGGCTGAAATAGGACCACGAAATGAATAACCGTTTATTTTTAAAATGATTTAGAAAATCATGTCAATGAAGCAATACTTATTTAGATTCATATTTGAAAATAGAAAGAATTTACTAAAAGGAAAAATTCAATAAAATCATATAAATTAATATAAAATATCAAAACAAATTCCTTATACAAGCTGTACTTCAAGAACCAAACTCCAGCGACATAATTAATATATCGCTAACCAGCATATTCCGCGAAGTAACCTTATAAATTTTCATTAAAAGCTAAACGATATTTACCTAAGCTAACATTTATACAAGTTTTTTTTACTTTATAAAATTATATCAATTAATTATTAAAAAAATCAACTTAAAATTTAAAAGTTTTTAATTGTTTTTTTATAGTTACTTACTAATACAAATATTGTCAATAGATACCTGTACACTCTTGCAGTAATGAATGAATGTGGAACCTATTCTAAGGTCCAATTTTACAGTGCAAGCTCAAGTGTTGATTTAACTCCAAAGTGACATTTCTTTGAATATAAAAATGACATTTTAGTGTCTAATATGGAATATTTAAGAGCTTTTTAACGTAAATGTAAGTGCGCATTGTAAAATTAGTCCTAAATGTTTTATTTTGAGTTATTTGAAATGAATAAATTTTTGTATGAATGAATAAATTCTTTGACAAATTAAAATATTAAATAAATAAAAATCATAATTAAAGTTTTATAAGTAATTTTTTATTAAATTAAAATTAATAATTTCATAATTTTTATTTCTATAAACAAAATCCACATTAAATTTATTTTTTTTTAAATGTAATTTTTTATTTTTTATACTAAAAGTAAATAAAATGATATAATTTATTTATTAAGAAAAATATTCTCGTATTTAACTAGAAATTAAGAAGCAAAACGGCGTTTCATAAGAAATTTAGCTCGCTTTACTCAACATCGGATCTAGATCAACGTATGCAAACCAAGCGAACGCCGAGTTTCATACACTATTAGTTCAATTTTAATTTATTACTGCTCTGAATAAAGTAATTATAATAAATCCACATTTCTCTAAACAAATATAACTTAAAATACGACAAATAATAGAAAAGCTTTCATAAGGACTTCTCTCTTATATTCAATATAATATTATATTAATTCTTTTAAATTGTTTTAACAATTTCTCTTAAAAGACTTTTAAAGAAGAATTATTTCAGCTACTCTTTATAGGTGAAAATTAGTTCAAAATATTTCAAACTTAATACATAGTTTAATATTTAATAGTAATTTTAATATATATTTCAAAATAGAAACGTGAAGAAGAAAACATTCACACAGAATTATAAATAAAAATAATAACATAATTAAAAAACAAATAAAAAAAATTGTAATATTATGAATTGACAACTGTCGGATAAAGACAATTTAGGGAAATGATCTATATCATATATATGTATATATATATATTTATACATATGTATGTAGGAGCAGGAGTGACAATTTGTTAATTCATTTATTCTTAATAAATAAAAAAAATTATATAAATTTACACTAAAACTATAATCGTCGTTGTGTGTGTGTGTGTAAGCGTGTGAATTGCTTTATTGATGAAGATGGTTATTTTCTGCTGATTTAGGCTTAACTGCATGGCCTTTTATATTTTTAAATCACTAATAGAAAATTATAAAAAACATTAATAAGTAACAAGCAATTTCCAACTTTAATTGAATATAATTAAAATAAACAAAATTAAAACTGTGAACATTAAAAAAAATCTCCAGCTCACTATTAAACTAATAAAAGCATTTGAAACTTGTCCATAGCTACTTATTGGCTTCCTTATTGCATGCAGTAATTTACAATTTAATTAAATTGTTATTCTTCGTCAGCAGCATTTTTCGGGACAACGCTTACACATCAGCACAATACTACATGCAACACAGAAAACGATGAAAGAAACTTTTGGCATTCCTTCGCGCCCTGCTGGCCCTTAGCTAACAGATGATACCTTGATCTAAGCTTAAATTGTTTGCGGCACTCTTGGTAACATGATGATGATGATGGTGATGGTGGTGTACTTGGTGGTGATGCAATTGGTGTTGATGATTGGTCAGTAATAGCGCTGTTGCTGCATTGCTGCTGTTACCATTTGCAGTGGCTGTCGTGGAATTGCTGTTGCCGTTGGTGGTGATTGCCCCCGAATGCCTGCATCCGGTAGGCGTTGTGTTGCTTGTGCTACTGTTGCTGTTGCTACCACTACATGTGAGATCGAAAACACAAGTTGATTTGTAACTGGCAACAGCTGTCGCTGATGCTATTGGCGATGAAGACGTTGCTGAACTTATGGGTGATGCTGGTAGTTTTTTATGCACACCGGTTATGGGTTCTGATAAGCGACGATTATAAACGTTATTCATATGATTAGTGCTGCTGTGACCATTGCTGCTGTTGCTAATTGAATGACTATATGATTTTTTATGCTCATGTGCTATAGGTTTATCGGGAGTGTTGAAACAATTTGTGTTGCCAGTCGCTTTACCGTTTAATGTTGGCGTAGTTGTTGTTGTTGTTGATTTTGCAGTGCTGATGCCATTTATATGTTGGTGCGGCTGTGGTTGTTGCTGTTGTTGTTGTGCTTGATGGTAATGATTAACTTGCGCCTCTTTTAAATGAAGTGTTGGCTTTTCAGTACAGTTGTTACCTTCAAGTTGAAACTTTTTTACTAAAGCTTTAACTGATGTTGGTGACGTATCTGCCGTTGGCGCTTTTCGTATGACTTTAGGTGTTGTTGGTGCATCCGGGAATAAACATTGTGCTTGACCATTTTTATCGGTTTTGCTGCTTCCATTTGGCAGTGTAATTGTAGTGACTACAGTTGAGTTTGTTGTTGTTGGCAATGATGGAGGCTTATCAGATGATTCAATAATTATTGTTGCTGTTGTAGTGGTTGTGGGTGATTTACTGCTACCATTTATGAGGTTCGCCGGTATTATTTTCTTTGTGGCCAGAAAAGTATTCTCTTTATTTGAGTCTGAAGAATGACGACGAGCGATATGTAACTGTTGTTGCTGATGTTGTGCTTGCTGCATGCTGCACAGTGGTATGGTTGTAGCACGTGTAGCTGGCACGGTTAGAATTGCAGTCGAAGTTTTCGTTGAACCATTTAAGTTCGTTTCACAATGGTTAACGTTAGTGCCATTTGCATGTATATAGCTAATGCCATTTGTATTGCTACCGTTACTATTTTTGTGCATTTTACTGTTGCTGATAACCTGCCGTTGGTCTACTAGTATTTCCGTATCGGACGACCCTAAATTGTTAATACCATTAATGCTAACATTGTTTTCCTCTGTCGAAATATCATCCTCGTCATCAATGTTTTCAACATCATCTTCAACGTCTTCTTCATCTTCATCCTCCTCCTCCTCCTCTTCGTCTTCATCAACTTCTAAGTCAATATCGAGGTCGACGCTTGCATCTGTGGTAGATTTTTTCGATATATTGCTGAACAATTGTCTATCGATGGAGCATTCGTCCTTTAACCAAATGTGCTCGAGACATCCTGCAGCTGTCATGCGATCACTAAAAAAGAATATTAGGTGAGATTTTTGTATACGTATTTTTGTGATAAGCGGTTTAAGTGAAATCAAACGCAGACTCGCACTTAAAACTAAATTTATTCTATTACTTTATTATCGTGATCTTTATAATTTCGTGTTCCGAGTACGGTAATAATGAATGAAAACATAAATGCAAAGCGGCTTGTCTTTGCTTTATACTTATGCTACTATACTATATTATATTATAGTACTCATTAATCGAGACCGTAAAAGATCAAAATAATAATGTTATAGGTTAGGTTCGTTTCTAAAGACAAGTTTGCTACAGTTGGGATAAGTTACTGAGCTCACTCAAAATCGTGAATACTACTTATATTTTGTTGTTGCTTAAAACTTACTTTGGCTTGATTCGCAATGAACGGCGTATGAAATCAATTGCTGCTCCGGACACGCCACCAAATAGTTTATCCGGAAATGTCAGCGAACATTGTGATATATTTAAAAATGTTTCCTGTTTCGTTTCACCGCCAAATGGAGAAAAGCCCGATAGCAGCACATATGCTAACACGCCCACTGACCAAATGTCGGTCAGCAGTGAAAGTGGTTCATATTGTAAAACTTCTGGGGCGACATAATCTGGTGTGCCAACAATCTCACGTACATTTGTGCCTTCAGCAACAACACGTGAAATACCGAAATCGCATAACTTCAAACCGTCTAAAAAAGAAATGTATATTGTTTAATTTTTTGAAATAAATAATGTTACGGAAAACTCACCTTCGATGCGTTCACCGGTGAGTAAAATATTTTGGGGCTTCAGGTCTAAGTGTGCAATTGAACGTTTGTGTAAAAACTGAAGCGCTTTAAGTACTTCGCGCATACAAATGCGTGCTTGAGCCTCACTGAGGCACTCCTCGTTGTCCAAAAAGGTTTGTAATTCACCACCAGTCGCTCTAAAAATGAAAAGGATGCCTTTTAGTTTTTTCATGAATATATCATAATATTGAAATTTGTTAAACTTTATATATTAGATATTAGTATAATATATTTTAAGTATATATTCTAATATATATACACATATGTTACATAAATAGGCCTAATATATGTCGTTGCGGAGACTAGAGCTAAATTTATTAAGATGTTTTTCTATTCTAGTATTCAAAAGCCAATAATCATTACATCTTCTACATTTGATTTCTAATACTTAACAACAAAATTTTATTGATAACACAAATCTAAATCTCTTCTAGTCATCTATTTTACATGAATTCTTTTTATTCTAAATAACTTATCATCTTTGATATGGGCATATCATCTATGATATGATAATAAAACAATCAAGAGCTTTTGGTTTCTATGCACATATGCATATTACAACGTTTAGTCAGGTTTTGGTGTTCGACTTGAACACCAGAAAGTAAAAAATAGTGATATATCAATAATAGAATAAAGGCCACCGCTTGCTCTTAAAGCTCTTTCTTCTTGGACTTTCAAATCAAAACAGGTCCTAGAGTGTTATGAGCTTCTGTAATCACTTATAGCTTGGAATAAGGTAAGCCTTTACTGGGTTCCGGGCCACAGGGGAGTTTTGGGAAATGAAAGAGCTGATGAGCTAACCAGAACTGCACCAAAAACTGCTTTTACATGCCCACAACCCTTTTGTGGAATAAGCTGGGCCAGTACAAAACAGATTATCAATGAAATGGAAAATCATATCTGGCTGGAGTGCTGGGTAACTTTTCAAGACTAGACAAAGCAAAGCACTGATAACACCGTAATCCTACAACGACATTCTTAAATTCTCAAAATGTAATTTAAGGTTGATAACGGGTTTCATTACAGGTCATTATGGTGTGAAATATCATCTTCATAAACTACGATTATCTGCTAACTCGTAATGCAGATTATGCCTCGAAGAGGAGGAAACGACCATGCACATTCTTTGTGACTGTCCAGCTTTAATAACGTACAGAAGAAACCTGTTTCATAAAGAATAATAATTCACCTTTATAGATCAAAGAATGAATCAGTTCCTTTGCTTGATAGTTTGCAGAAATGTTCTACCACTAGCGATGTTTAAACTTCTTATCTATGAGACAATCGAAGATTTGTTTTTTATAAAACAAATTTTTGTTTTTTATAAGCTCGTGTATTACTTTATTAATACAATTCATACATAACTGCATATCTAATTAAAAAATTATTTTACTTTTTCAATATTCATATTACAACAACTGAAACTCTTCAAGACGACCATATCTTAAAACCTATATCACTATCTGTATAAATACAGATGTAGGCGTTCCCAAAACTTTTTGAGAGGTTAAATCGATTTGAATGACAAAGTGGCAAATACTCAGTGTAAGCCTGATTTCGCTATCGAAGTCAGTAAATACTGCATCCATTTCATGATTGGTTTCAACAATTTAGATGACAAATGTATATATGCTCTTATTATTATTAAGGAAGAACAATAGTAGATCAATCAGGTAAAGATCAACTTTTTTACATAGGTATGATGGGAACCAAGTCAAATTGTTGACAATCGTAGATATTAACAGAATAATACATAAAGGGTAGGGAAGTAGTTTGATATTGATGAAGAGTTGGTTAAAAAACAAAAACAGTGGCTCTTCTGAAGGTGTAGATTACAAATACAATATGTTGCTGTTATAAATATTTAATAGTAATTAAATTTCAAAAATTTTTACTTACAATTCCAATAGTAGCGCTGTGTCTGAACGGGTCTCGTGTACAGCATTTAATTTGACAATGTTATCAGCGCCATCGCACAACATCAACACAGCGATTTCATGCTTGATTTCCTTGTCTGAGGATTGTGCGCGCCGGCGACGTTTCAGAAACTTTGCCGCAAAATGTACACCGGAATTTCTGTGTACCGCGCGACGCACTGCTGCAAATTTACCTCTGCAAGTGGAAAAAAAAGAAAAATTAAGAAAAATTTTTAATAAATAAAATAACATAATTAAATCAATTTAAATAAAATACAGTTAAGCCGGAAATGCGTGGCCATAGTTCTTTATGCAGACTAGTTTATGACCAGGTTACACAAATAGCTTTGTTTGTTTATATATTTTTTTATTTGTATATATCAACTTGTATAACAAATTGTATTCATTCATAAATTTCTCACTTGAATATTTTTTTTGGAGAAAAAAATAATTAATTATAATGTGTGGAAAATAGAAAACTGCAAACAACTCACGCATTCGCGAATCTGGTCGCTTTCGAACCAGTGCTGGACGCAATATGTTGACTTAGGATGAATAGCACGCACCGAGTGGAACCGGTGTCAAGTGGCTCTTTTTGATTGTTTTTCATTTTATTTTACTCAAGTTGCAGCAACATCGGCAACACGCAATAGTAAAAATATTTTTGCATCGGATATGGCGGCTGCAGTTGGTGGACACTGAATATTGCAAGCAAACATACGGAGTTTGCATGGGCGTTAAGATGAAGCAATCAACAAGTTAGGTGAGTGCCAAGTATGTAAACAGTTTGGGACGATTGTTGGTTACAGTATTAAAGCAACATTAGAAATAAATTCGGAAACAACAATTAAAAGCTAAAAGCTAGGAGGATAAGATGGTTGAATGCGTGTTCTAGTAAATTTTCGACTGAAACAAACCAAACAGCTGTTTTAAATAGACTTCAAATTATTCTTGGATTATTTTTAAAAGACGGTTGAAAAAAATGATAGTAGTTGTAAATATTTGTTAAGGAGAAAAAATATTTACAAAATGATATAGAAAAAGCCTACAATATCAACAGATTGCAATTTTCACAGACTGTTGAGCTGCTATTCTTATTCTGTTTAACCATAGTATTAAAATATAACTTGCACCATTTAGTAGGTTCGCCAGTTATTAGTTGACTCTGACGGGATATTCTAAATATAGATCTCCCAAAAATAATCTCTATTAAGCACGCAAACCAGTTTTAACATTTAGAATACTATATCAAAAAATTTGGTAAGAAAACAATACCAATGGTCTATTTGAATAGAAAAAGAAGCTCTGCCAGAATAAAAATCAACCAACCAAAATGATTTGACTTAAGAAAAACGATTAAAAGTTAAAATAAAATTTCATTTTTATACGACCAAACTAGTCTAAGTAAGACTTAGTCAAAAGACAATATTTTTGTTAATACTAGATTAATATTAACTTATTCTCTTCATTCACATATGCAGTTAGTACTCAATTTAATTCACAAATATTCAAAAAAATAAACAATAGCCAAATAACCGACTAACGACTAATAGCATGAAAATAAGGACGAAAAGAAGAATAGGCAAAGTGTCTGCTAACCCCACTTAAATTCGAAAAATAGTTTTATAAGGCAATTCTATAGAAAATCTTCATATAAACGTTTTCAAAATTAAAAAACTGATTAACTTTTTGTCGATGTATGTACGTATTTTAAACAATGAATTCAGAATTCTTTCTGCTAACTTCAGTTATTTCAAGGAAAATGCACCTTAGATTTTAATTCAACTCACACCTTGGCCAACATAACTGCATTAAATTCTAAAAAATCTGGAGAATGACAACTGTAACTGCAACAACAATGACTACAACAAAAACACCTAAAGTGACGCATCAAATCATTTAATGACGACGCCTTTGACAAAGTACGTGCCATAATAGTAAAGCGTATTGCGCTTCCGGCAAATAACAACAACATACCAACAGCTGCAGTTAAAGCATGTCGCCAAAGAAACACAGATACACACATACATAGCTGCAGATACCAGCTGTTGTTGGTGCAGTCATGCTAGACCTAGACCAAACTACTGACTTAAAGATCGCACGACCGCATGACCACAAGAATAAACTCAAGTGTTGAAAGCGACGACAATTGTAATGGCAATCAAGTCTAAACTTAGGACTTTGTACGACGCATGCATAGTTTGTCACCGAAGTGTACGTTCAGTGCTACAGGAAAATAGAAAAATACCAACAAAAACAACAAAAACAACAATATAACACGACACAATATAACAATCAAGCCAGTTGAGTGTAAAGTTTTGACCGAAACTAGACTGGATTGAATTGGTATTTCTAATTGTAAATTGTTATTGTAAATGTTGCGATCAGACATCGTCTATCAACTCATATGACTACCAAATAAGAGAACACTGAATGGACGTATACTTCGATATGAATTTTGTGAACAACGCGTCGCCGGTTGATTGGACATGTTTAATAGGCTACAGGCGCTATTATTCAAAGTGTAATAAGTGTGTGCACTCGTTCAGTGTTGCATACTGGTTACGTTGACAATGATGATGACGACGGCTGCGAAATTGATGTCTTCCGGCAACTAAACAGTAATAACAACTAAGAACACAAAAATAAATAAAAATATCCTAATTAAAGTACATGTACTTGAACTGAGTCTTGCTAAAAAGACTTATAATGGCACATATAGGTTGACATAAAAATGGTTGCAAAATGTATATATTCACAATATAACAATAATAATAATATTAACAACAACAATAATCCTAATAATAATAAAAATAAAAAATTAATATATTTAAAGTTTACTTTTCCAATTTGTTACTATAATATAACACATGAGTTTTCGTTTTGCTGCGTAAAGTCTTAATTTGAGTCCGAAATTATATATGGTAGTTTCTTATAATTGACGTAGTGAAGAGATTATTTAAGAGGAATTGTTTATAACCATAATATCATAAGGCTATCTCAAGGGCAAATAATCGCCAGGATTCGAATATGAAATAGGGAACTCTTGTAAAAAAGTAGATATTTACAATATAATACTATATCCTCGTATAGGTGGGTTCAGAGTGTGCCTCAAGCAAAGTGATTGCTATAAAAATCACCATTAATGAGAGATAGGTTAGACGAGAGAAGAATACAGATAGTGTCGACATTATAAATGTTAAAGGAATTAAGTTTTATATTTATCACAATTAATTATGGGTGATAAGCATAAAATATATTGAGGTCAAAATGCTACAGAAAATAGATGATGACTCTAACATTTCGCAACTGGACTGAACTATCTAGATCTATATACATATATGGATGAGATAATAGGTTACTTTGGATAATAGACAAATGTATAGTTTCGGTATTGAAGTTTTGAAAGAGAGTCTGCCTTAAAGCGGAAAGACACAATTAATGATAATAAATATGATTCAAAAATTATAATGCAACATCAAGAAGGCTTTGTTATCTATTTAAACACCACTTCGTACATAGTTTTTCTTCTTTTTTTCACGGTTTGGCAGCTCATTAAGTACCTTGACGTACCTGAACAAACTTTCTTCATTCAGCTTTATATATTTCTGTCATTCTTCAGTTGTGTACCTACAAAATTATCATCATCATGGGTGACTATACAACCCATGTAGGACTGAAGCCTGTTTAACAACAATCTTCCATTCTTCTCTGCTTTTTGCTTTTTTTTCCAATTTCTTATGTTCCTTTCTTCTAAGTTCTACTGTACACCACTGTCTTTCCATCGTTTTCTTGGTCACCCTCTTCTTCTGCTGGTTCCTACTTCGTTCTAATAAATCTTAAGCGGTACTCTCATATCACACATTTTTATCACATCTTATCACCCATCTTTCTAGCTCGTGGTTGTGCCTAATGTGTTACATCCCCTTTTCTTTCACGGGGCCAAAATTTTTCTGGGTATTTCCCTTTCAAGCACTACTATCTTGCTCGCTTCAGTTTCACTTAATCTCCATGTCTCGCAGCCATATGTTACTACTGGGCAAATCAATGTTTTATACATTTTTAGTTTTGTTTTCTGCGAAATATTATTATAGGTGATATTTCAAACTCATTATTGCAAGATTCAAGAGAATAGAGATTTTTCCTGGATGCTGGTCACAGTTGTACATTACCGAGTGTGGATAATTGAATTAGGAAAGCAATTGTGTGTTTTACTGCAGAAATTATTATTAGCGATATCATTGTGTGATACGTGCAAGAACATTTCCGTGTCTAAGTCGTGTTATTGTGGTGTGGAAAGAATTTGTCTGATTGTTGGTAGTTTGCGTGTAAATAGCACAGAAAGCAGTTTGGTAATTTTTTTCTTTCAAAGTAGTTTTACATACTGGAAGATGCACGTTTTAACTCATCATGCAAAATTGCGTTTGTCACTATAGTTGAGCGGTAAGTAACTATAGTATTGTTGAAATATGCAGATTAAAAATGAGAACAAAAACTATTGCAGTGCCTGCTAAGATCTTTTCGACTTGAAGTATAGAAGTTAATGCACTTCTGTTGCACAGACATCATGCGATAAAAGTAGAGTGCGTGTTAACGTTTATGCATTTCGCTAATTAACAGTGAAAAATCAAGTTACAACTTGGGAAAATAGGCAGTCGAGAGTTGGCGTTGTAAGGTCAAACATCTTCTGCATATTTATACTTCACCATAAATGTACCAACTGAAGTACATAAACAACGGTGACGTCTGACGTGGCAAGAGCAATTTCAGTTGCGTTTCATGCGACACAAAGTCTGAGACATAGTTGCAGTAATTATACTAAATAAGGACTTCACATATGCGACTAATTGGGCAAGTGCTGTTTTGATAAGGGCACGGTTCAGTTCAGTTCAGGTTCAGTTGTTGACAAGACTGATCTGCTGTGGTCTCACGACAACTTCGCAAAGCAAAAAAAGTGTCATGCGCCAGTATTTACTGCTTCGTGTTACGTAACTCAGTAGGTGTGTGATTCTAGCCATATATGATTGTCTGCTGTGTTGTTGTTGGCATCAAATTTTTGAAATGTTGTTGAACTTTTAAGGTTAAATTTAGTCAATTTAGTCAATTTTAACTTGTAATTAATTTTATATGAAATATTTAAAAAAAAAAATTAAGTCAATATTCGATAGTTCAGCGTTTTGATTTACAGAGTTCATGGCTACAATTTG